AAAACCGGACCACTTACACCCCTACTTAAAATCAAGAATATTTATTTGTTATGTAACTTGAACTCGTTGGTAAAAACAAAGTAAGAAGTTTATTACATTCAAAATACAAGTTGTTCTTTCCTATATAAATTACACATGAAATCCTTTAATTATCAATTGGAGACGTTACGCGATGAGGCCTTGAGAAAAGAACCACTCTTTGTTATTTCCCGCAAGGGCTTATCTGTAAATCTGATAATATTGTAGACCCACGCCCCAGCCACCGCCCCAGTTATTGGGCCTACCATGTAGATCCATAACCCCTTGTACTGCTTCGATACTATTGCTGGGCCTAGACTCCTTGCTGGATTCATTGATGCCCCAGATATCGGCCTGCCCACCAAAACTCATTCATCATAGGTGCAATTTTTCCAATTAATCAGTTTCTGCGGATAAATTTTAATTCTTCGTAGTTTATAGCATAAAAATTGAAATAAAAAAATATATAATTTCAAACGAAAATAGACTTTAAAATTTAATGTTGCAGTCGAACCTTTATTGTTAAACTTTTAGGTTCATTTTCTAAACCCACGAATAATTTAGGAGTATGTACATACCCTGCAAACATCACATTTAGCAGAACGGTAGATCCAACTGCTAGACCAGCGAGTTCTCCTATCTGCATAACAAATCGATAAATTAATGGTTATGCAAAATGTAATTTTATTATTGTGTACAATAATTATCGTTTTCATGACTTCTTTTTTGTCTCTTTAGTCGTCCACAAGTCGCTAGCAACCCATGTTAATATTGCTTTAATTTGATGTATGTACCTTTATTTTTCTATATTTAAAAAGATTTCATCATCATGTTCAATATGATAAGTTTAGAAAAATAAAATGTCAAGATCTTTGATTCCCTTCAATTATTACCATTTTTGTCGCCTAATAGTCCGATTTATGCATTTAAAATAATGTATAAATGATACACGAGAATCAATTTTACGAAAGGTATATTATCATGCTGCATTGGAATTTCAAATAATAATTATGTATGTGATAAGCTGAAGAATTAAATGGACTAACAGCTCTGTTATCTGTGGCGACGCCGGAAATGACGAACATTAGGTAGAATGTAATTATAAATTCCAGGACCAGAGACTGCACATCGGAGCCGGCAGGAAGTGTGCCGGAAAAGTGATCATGCTTGCCGGTGAACAGTAATCTTAGGGTTCCGCTTGCTAGGGTTGATCCAATGACTTGAGCTAATATGTAGGCCGGTACCTAATCCAAGACATTAATTAAACGACTTGTAAATCTGCATTTTGACGTTAACTATTTTTATAGCGATAAGCTAAGCCAAACACGTCGTTGATTTCTGACTGGCAAATGACTAAAAATGAGGTAGTTGATGTAAAACTATCAACATTAATGACAGATAATTCTCTCAAAGCTTACCGTAAAAATAAGTATTTGTTTGGGAGAAACTATTTGAAGGGAAAATTGATTATTATTATTTAATATTTCTGAATATGTGGTTTTTAAGAGTAAGAAAAGTTACAAGTTCACATGAAAAATTATTCTTTTGGAATAATGTATGATTGAAAAAGAATTTGAGTAAAAATTATTTTCAATTAAGGTTTCCCAAACAAACGTATAGTCGGCATTCAACATGCCACCTTTGATGCACATGATATGATAGACGAGTAATGTGAACATAAACAAATTAATTCCTCAACTTCAAAATTATTAAAACTTATATAGTGGATTAAAAAAAATCATTTTTAATAAGATAAAAATCAAAGTGTGTCGATATAATTCACCTGTTTCCATGGGAATCTCTTGCAGGTAGCAAAAGCAATAGTTACAGCAGGATTAAAATGTGCACCAGATATATGTCCAACTGAGTAAACCATAACCATCACCACCAGACCCCACACTATTGAAATTCCCGGGTGTGTCACCACCTTGTCCTTGTCGGCGTTCACCACCACCGCAGCGCAACCAGCAAATATCAAGAAATATGTCCCCAGTATCTCCGCAATTATCTGTATTAATATCCCTAATATTATAACTTGCAAGTGAAATCAAGAAAAAAGAGGGGATAATTAAGAATCACCTTCTGTATGAAAGGTAGAGTAAGAAGGCTGCAGCCTGAAGAATTTCCATGGCTGCTGGTTGCTGACTCGGTTAGAGTTTGGTGATTTGAATCTTCCTCCAGCTTTATATTCACCGCCATTCCATGGTTACCATTTACGCCTGATGATATCTCCGCCATTTTTCTCTAAGAGTTCTAGAGAGCCCAGCAAAACATGTTTTAATATTTATACATGTATATCTGTATGTATCATGTGTGAATACCCAAGCTTTTGGACTTCTGAAGATAGATCAAAGCATTTGACTATGAGCCTTTCAAGTCTAATCATCTTTATTGATTAAAAAAATCATTTTCTTATAATTGTTTTAAAATTTAAAATTTTTTTTTCTGTATCTTTGAAAAGTGTGACGTCTGAATTTATTTAGGGTTTGTTTGGTAACACTAAAAATCCAATTAAAATTGAAAATATAGCTGTTATTGGGTCTCATCCGTCTAATAAAAGTCAACAATAACGGCTAATTTTTCAATTTTAATCTCTACCTAACACACTCTTTAATTCAAGAGTGAATAAAGGCAGCATTGAAGGATGCTTCAACAACCCACCGGAAATACAGAAACACGGAATGGCCAAGTTCCATAACTACCTTGCATTAATCAACTACATTAATTTTGGTCGCTCACTATTTATTATATTTATATTATCATTTTATTTTTCGTGCGTTGTGCCTGTGCATGTTGTTTCATATCTCTTGTTGAATGACTCGTTTCTCATTTCTGTGCAACCTAGCAATGGAATCTGAAATGGAATAAGGTATTAAGCCTCTATTTGATAATCATTATTGCAAAACTCATTTTTTATATACTCATTTTCAACCACATATTTACACAATAAAATATTTTACACGTAAATTCAAAATTTTTCTTTACTTTTTCACCACACATTCTTTAAAAAATCACTATTCAAAACTCAATTTTACCCAAATAATGATTATCAAACATGGGCTAAGTTGGATTGTTTGATCAAGACAATATCACCTAATGTCAATATTTAGAGAGAAGCGAAGCATGCTTATGCATTTGAAGTGATATAAGATAGACGATTTCTCAAAAGCTTAGCCCCTGTTCGTGGTGATTAAAATAAGATATTTAGTAGATTTTGATAAAAGTTAATGAAATGTGTAGTTGAAAAAGTTGTGAGTCTCGTGAAATTTAGATTTTAATTCCTATCAAACAGAGATTTAATATTTTTTTTAAAAAAAAATTAATTCTATGATAACTATACAATTTATTTTTTAATTGACATAGTAGTTTAGAGCTTAAAAAACTTGAAACATCTTCGAATTTTATATGGGTGGGTGGGGGGGGGGGTGAGAGAGAGAGAGAGATTGTATATTGTATATAATAAAGTCACCATCTTATGAAAATGATTTATTTCACTATCGTAATTAGATGAATTTTCAGGTTAGTAGGTGATCTAATGCAATATAGCTTAAAAATTAAGTTAACGAAAAATCTAACTTCCCTTGAAGACTCCGACGTTGATTAATTGTCAATTTATTTTCCAATATTAATCAATTATCAGATTAATTGAATCATTTTTCAAATTATTAAGCTTGGACAAAATTGGTAACTTCTTCAAATTTGGCAACCAAAGTTGAACGTTGAAGCGCAAATTCTACAGTTTTTAAACTTTATAAACCGAGTGATAGGGCTTAATCCGAGTCAAATTGTTTCGTGATTACCTAATCGAGTAGAGCTCGAAAGGTTGAAGATAAGACCAGAGGAGAAAAGTGGCAGACTCCCATGATTCATGGAGTTCCCAGCTATTACTTTAAACTTTGAAGTGGCTGGCAGGCATTGACTCGCCCGTGAATTACACTTTTTCTTATCATCATCCATAGAGATGTAAATTACATCGGTCAAATCTACTTTTTCGATCATTTGATTTTCTATTTGAATATATATATATTTTTTATTATTTTCTTCTGAAAAACGTGAAAAATTTAGAAGGCTTGCTAAAGCAATCCAAGTTTACACTTCCATAATTGTTTAACATTTATCAAAATTTACTAAAAATCTAATTTTAATCTCCATCAAATATGGATAAAATCACAATAATTTTGACTTTTTTCTTTTTTCTCTTGCTCTTCACGCATTTTAACAAAATCTTAACCCTTCTAATTTTTTAAAATTTATATA